CAGAGATACTTTTGTTTTCTCTCTAGTATTAAACACTAAAGATCCAGAAAATATTAAACTGTCCTCTCTAATGGAGCAGGGTAGGGGAGACAAGGAAGATGATACAATAGCTTCCTTCTGACCCAGAGGAGTCCCACAGTGACATTGACAGTGACTTTACCTAGCTCTAGTCTGACTGGATCAGTAAAATGCACCCCAGAGGAGACATCCTCTCTCCAGTTTGCCACTCTGCTTCATAGATGGCAGATACAATGATTTCCCAATATCCTGAGCCTGAGTCTCACACAGCCCATGACTTCAGTCAGGATCTATAACAGATACAAGCACCCCCTATTTCTCTGAATCCCATCTCTTTACCACATGTTCCTTTGAACAATGTAATGAATAAACTAGTTAATTCTTTAGAAGTGATAAAGCATGTCATGGAATCTTCTATTCCCATGACTGCCCTTTACATTGAAGACTAACATTTGAAGAAACTAATCATCATGGACCCCATTAGCTTCTGTACACTCTGCATGATATAGTCAATTTGAACTGCTGAGATTTTTCTCCATATTAACCCTAAAACTACCTGAATAACCTATTCTCTATCAGTCATCCTTTGGAACTACTCTTCTAGGGTACAGTTGTGGTAAACTCCCAGCTCTTTGTCACTCTCAATTAACCAAATCCTACAACTCTGGAATAACATTCAAACATTCTCATGACTTATTTTCACAGAACCACTCCAAGACCTGCCAGGGAACATCACTGATGTTCCATCAAGCGGGCCTGATACATGCCAGGTGACCCTGACAGTTTAGGAATTACAAGTAAATTGACCATTGCCTTTTAAATATTCCTGCATCTCCTAGGTACTACAAGTCAGGCAGTTTGAAGGCTCTTGTCAGTCTGGGATTTCCCTATTCTGGGATTTGAGAGAAAATCTTATTCTGTTCACAGAAGAATTAGAACCAGGTAATGTATCGGATTTGGGAAAAGGAAGAAGTAGGATAGCTCACTCAATATCTGAATCAGTTTGGTCAATCTTACTTGAACTCTCAGGAGAAGGATATGTGGGGGAAGTCTCTAACTAAGGTCTTTTTTTAAAGATTTATTTATTTATGCATACAGGAGCTGGGGTACAGGCCAGAGGTGTGGGAGGTGAGAGGATTCACCAGAGACAGGGTGGGGAACAGAACAGGTAGACTGACTGAAGTCCTAAGGGGAGCAGCAGGCAAGTCAGGAGAGGACTGCTGCACCAGGTGGGTTGCTCCCTGGCCAGGGGATCAAACTGGCGCTGCAGAGGCTGCAGACAGCTTCACAGGCTGCAACTTAACCTCTTGCGCCACCAGGGAGGCCCCTCTAGCTAAGGTCTTAGGCAGTCAGGGACATGCTCACTCATGAGAGTCACCACAGGCAGGAGATGCTCTTGGACATGTTACTAAAACCCAAACATGTCTCTAGATTTTAGGGACGCTGGCCCCTCTGTTGGAATAAACTCCTTGAAGGAAAAGCACCAGAGCAGAGACTGCTTCCACAATTATAATAGTTGTGTGTGTCTTTTCTTCAGCCCTGAGATTAATTGAATGGCAGCTCTACCTGCTGCTAAACCCATTCATGCTCCTGAAGTCATTGTCATGAAGAGCCAGGTCTTCCTCTTACACAAAGAGGACCCCCTTGTCACCATCCTCAGTCACATCTCATGTTCTTGGTACTTTTCTAAAATACATAGGTGTTAATTTTATAATAGATCATTGGAACACATGCCCTCAATGGTTATGAACTCCTCCAGTGTAATGAAATCTCCTTGCTTGAATTTTAGTTATAGTATCCCCCAACTCATCTATGGAGGATATATTCCAAGACCCCAGTGGGCACCTAAAATCTCAGATAGTACCTAATTTTATGTATATTTGCTTTTATAAATCTCTCCATGAAGTTTAATGTATAAATTAGGAACATTAAGAAATTAACAATTAATAATAAGATAAAAATTATTACAATGTACTATGATAAAAGTTGGGTGAATGTGATTTCTCATTCCCTCTCTCTCTATATCAAAATATCTTATTATAGGTAATATTTTTCAATCAAGATTGATGGGGCATAACTGAAAGAGTTGAAAGCAAAGGGGTAACTGAAAGGGGTAACTGAAAGAGTTGAAAGCAAAACCACAGATGAAGGACTACAATATATGAGGACAGAAATTTCATCTCTTTCATTTATTGTTGTATCCTCAATGCCAAGAATACTGTCTGACACATAAAAGTACCCAGTATATATTTATACAATGAATGAATAAAAGAAACAATTTTTCAAAAACTAAGTTATATGAAATTATATCAACAGGTCAGCCACATATTCTCTCTTAAAATATGAATAGATATAAGAATTTAATAAAATTAAAGAAGTATATTCCAGAAAAACAATGACCCCCTGTAATGAATCAAATGCCCATTATAAAATTAAGAGGTTAACACCTCAGTAAAATAAGCAACATGCTTAAGCAAAATTTTCAAGATAATCACCAATGGCAATACAATGGGCAGTTCAAAAATAGAAATTTGCAGAATGGTTTGATATTAGAGAATTTTATTAAGTCTAGCAACTTCTATGGTTCTGGGGGGAAGTTGAGCTTCTTCCTGTGTGTCTATCAATGTAGGGAGAATGTGTGGAACTCTTCAGGAAAGTGTTTCTCTGGTCATCAGACTGTCTACTCTTTGTTCTCACTGTCAGGCTGCAGAACAAATTTAACATGGAGCTGCCTCCCCACTAGGAATGTCAAAAATACCTTGTGGCATCATAAACCATCATCTGGTAAAACATCTGGTGCTGATTGCATTCTAGAAAAATATACAGATGTGGTCACTAGAAACTCACTGGGCAATTGCTTCAATTACTTAACCACATATGGATAGAATGCTTCTTCCTGGTTTTCAGATGCATTGCTTGAACACCTCTGTGCATATAAAGAGGGTATCTTCTTGCATGCTGTGATAACCACTGAAGCATATTACTCTTAGTCACAGAGGAAAAGGTATTATCATATGTTATAATCATCTGATTAGTAGTACATGTCAGTTACATTGGTATTTTGCCTAAAAGTCAGAATGAAATTTTATGCTTCTTGTGGGATGGCAGACATATTTTCCCTTGAGTGATTACAGGAAAAGTGCCAAGAAGGACATTTTGATTGGAATGCTGTATTGATGGACTTTCTTTGCAAGACTTTCTTTTTTTTATGTGAATAGGTATGTGGAAACCCTGTAAAACCCAAAACTTTTTAGAAAGTTCATTTGTTGATTCCATGAAGGATGATGACAGGTGGTGGAATAAGTGAAATCACATTTGAATTTTGTATAAAAATGTCTTAAATAAATGTTTTTGTACTACTAATATTATTGTGCTTAGGCAAAGTTTATCTTCAAAGACTTCATTTCCAGTTTAATCTTTAATTGAAGACAAGATGAGGATATTCAATTAAAAGTGATGAAAGGGGAGTAAAAGAAAATTGAAGTAAATTAATAACTATAAGCCTATGAAAACAATGCTGTTTGCTGAAGATGAGCTTTCTTTAGTTCTCTCTAAAACAATAGTGACCTAATTCCTAAGACATACTTGTGATTCATTCATTTAGCAAACATCTATTAAATGCATTTATATGCAAGATGCCAGACTCAAAGATGAAGAAAACACACTTTCAAAATACATGCCTTTCAGATGTGAAGGAGGTATTGAGAAAATAAGTTTGCCAAGCAAAACCTGGGGTTATTTGGTGATCTGAAACTCAGTTAAATAAATATCACATATTACTCCAATTAGAAATTTACAAACATACCTTTATTCACCAATCTTTTGATATGGAATCAAGATTTTTTCTCAGTATAGAAACTTGGCGATCAGACTAACTGTGAAGAACTTGAAAATTATTGAAAAGAAATCTGAGCACATAATCTTTTTCGATGTTTAATAATTTTCCCTCAATAAAATAACATTGTTTTTAATAATATTATTCCCAAAGAAAATTTAGCAGTTCATATTTATGAAGTCTTTGTAGGATATTCTATCAGTTTACATAGATGTATAGTTTTCATTTATATAATTTTAATTATATTTTGTAATCATTATAAAATCACAACAGATATTAACAGGTTTGGAAACATACACATATATGACACACACCCAATTAGTTGGGGCAGAAATGCAGGTGCATCTTGAAGAATAACCTATTAGAATGCAGAAGCATTGGCTAATATATATTACAGAGGGATTAGAGAGCATTTGGTAAGACTGCCAATTTGCAAGGATTTTTTTTCTAAGAAAATTAAGCATCAAATAGAGTATAATAATTGCAAATATTCATTTGGAATCTTTTACCATAAAAGGAATGATTTTATTGTTGGTAAAATTTATGATAATTTGAAAAATCTATAGTCTTTCTAAAAAAAAAAAACTCTAAAATCATAATCAATACTGAAACAAATGTATACCAAACCTTAATGCTAATGAGTTTGTCAAACAGATACATGATATCATATATTTTCATAAGATATTGGCATTTTCAGAAATTTCTCATCTAAGATATATTTTACAAGGTGATTTTACACTGGTAGAGCATGGTCCTTTAACAGAATAAAATATAGCTTCTACTCTACAAGTCAAATATCATAATAGGAGAATGTTAGAACCATAGAAAGAAATTTAGTGGACCATTTATAATGCAATATATGTTTAATAGACTGGGAGTCTTCCTTATTGGAAGTTTTACAGTTTGATTTTGTTTCCTTCATTTTCATATTTCTAGCACTTAAGGACACTGCCTTGCACATAGAAGTCCTTCAAATAAAATGTCAGGGTGAATATATTAATGGCAATTAGAATGATGTCAGTGGAAATCATACTTGCAGTTGTCACTCATGTATTGCCTAACCCTGATTTTTTAAATTTATTTATTCATACAAGAACTGGGGTGTAGGTCAGAGGAGTGAGGTGGGGAGGAAGTTGAGAGGACTCACCAGGGACAGAGTGGGGAGCAGAACAGGCAGATCTACTGGAATACACTGCTGAGGGGAGCAGCAGGTGAGACAGGAGAGGTCTGCTACACCATGTGAGTTAGCTCCTCAGCCGGGGAGCTAACTCATGCTACAGTGGCTGCCAATAGCTTGATCATGCTGAGACTTACCACTTGTACTACCAGGGAGGCCCCTTAACTTACCCTGATTTTAATGAAGATCATAAGAGGCATTTGTGACATAGTCAGAAACAGTTCACTACCCTGACCAAGTCCCTATAAAGAAATTATACTTGTGTGAATCAATAACAGAATTCTGTTTAGGACATCTGTAACATTTGCTGGTTCTCTAAGGTATTTTGTTGTTGTTGATTTTTTTTTGTTTGTTTCTACATTTAGTCATCTGCAGGAGATGGATTATTGAAACTTTGTTTTTAAAAAACAAGTGGAGGGCTTCCCTGGTGGCACAATGGGTTAAGCACTGCACTATAAAGTAATCCACAGCCTCTGCAGCACAAGTTCGATCCCCGGCTGGCCAGGGAGAAACCCATATGGTGAGGCAGACCTCTCCTGACTCACCCACTTCTCCCCTCAGCAGTGTATTTCAGTCAGTCTACCTGTTCTGTCCCCTGCTCTGTCTCTGGTGGATCTTCTCATCCTCTGCATCTCTGGCCTGTGCCCCAGCTCTTGTAGCATCAATAAATCTTTAAAAAAAAATGGAGGGGAAAGGGCAAGATGACAACAGTGTGAAGACATCAGGTTCACCTCCTCTACATACTCATAGCTAGATTGCAACACAACAAAGTAAAAAATTCTGAAGAAAAAATAGATGATGATAGCACATGCTAGAAATAATGTATGGAGCTAGGGCCCAAATAGCAGAATAATGGGCAATGCAGATAGACCACCCAAGTGGGTGAGGTGAAGCCAAGTGACCCTGTGAACAAGCAGAGTGGAACTGGCAAGGCAGTTACACAAGAATCCTCAGTATATCCAGCAAGCCCCAAGCCCCAAGTGTGGATCTAGAAGCAGACTCACCACAGTACGCTCCCACAGACCTCAACACAGACCACCAGGTGCTCCAGTGCAGGTTCTAGAAGCAGCCCTATGTACAGTAACCTTTGTCAAAACTCAGCAGCCACAAGACAGGATCTGAAAGCAGAGCTTCCATAATACACACAAGTACAAATCAGCACAGACCTCTGCAAGATCCAGGGCCTATCCTAAAATCAGTACCACTAGCAGTAGTCCTCAGACCTCAGTGATCACTGGATAGGACCTCAAGGCATACTTGCCGAAACAGGCCTGTTGTAAAACTCAGAAAGCACCTGGGAGGGTCCTGAAAGCATTCCTACCATAGTTCACCTTCACATATCTCAGACAACCTAGGAAAGGTCCTAGAGACAGCCTTACTGAAGCTAGGATCCTTACAGAAATCAATGAGCTCCAGAAGGGTCTTGAAAGCAGGCTTCACTGTGGTCAACCCTGGCAGAACTTACCTTTGGCACAGGGCCAGGAAACAGACCCACTGCAGCAGGGTCCCACAGACCCTACCATGCCCTGGCAGGTTTCCTGGAAGAAACACAAACCAAGTACATCCTGGCAAAAAGTGTAATGAGCCCTGAGCTGATGTGATAGGCCCCACCAGAGGGTATTTCAGGACCTGTTTCTCATAGACTACCACTTTTGGAGCAGCAAGTCAGAGACACTGATCAGACAGATAGTCTATTGTGTAAGAATGAGATTGAATATTCCTTCATCAGTAGAGAGCAGTATAGATTCAAAACATTGACACTGAAGATATTCATGCTACATAGTAAGTTGGTAAAGAGAGGAACCTGTGCTTTTGTCTAGAGTGGGGAACAATAGTGAAAGGGTGGTCAGCTCTGCCAGTGGCCCTGGAGAGAGGGGAACTGCAGTTATGTGGAGGTATACTCCCTTGAAAGAATGGAAAACCAAGTGGAGGAACTGAGTTACACCAAACAGACTGGGTTCCCAGTAAAAAAAATAGCATAGCTGGTATTTCTATCTGCACTCTTCTTCTTCCTATACTTGTCATTACATCATGAGGCATGCTAAACACAGGGACTACCCAATCTCTCATCCCAAACTCCAGACTAGAGGGTAATCAGGGGGTGCCACAACCATGAGCCAGACTCTCCTCAAGTCATCCACACCAACATCTGGATCCCTCCAAGTCACTCTGCACCCTATGCACTCAAGCCCTATAAAATAGATATGCATATATAAGAAAACAGAAAAGTCCAAAATAAATTAATTTAAAAATGCTAAAGAGTTTTAAAACAATAATAAGAAATAGAAAATATGGGTCTGCTAATCCTAAGCAACCTGTTGGGCCACCATTTTTGTTATCTGCAGTTCTGCATTCCTACAAGGACAGGAGTGCCCAGTCAGTGAGTGATAGGAGCCCGACATTACAAGGTGCCTTTCAAACCAATCAAGAGCAGCAAGCTTGAGGGGGCGGAGCAACATGGTGGCGAGGAGACGCTGCGAGTAAGATCTCCCATTAAAAAAAGTTAATAGGGAGGAAAAGCGGCAGGTCCCAGTGAGAACTGGGACACGGAAGATAAACGGGTGACGCCAGCAAACTGCCCGAAGAAGAAAGTGGCCATAAAAGAGGACCAGAAGGGAGGGAAGCGCAGAACCCTGCTCCCCTCCCCCACCCACAGAGTCGGCACTCTCCGACCGACCGGCAGAGAGGAGGAAAACAACAAACTAAAACGACCAACAAGAACAAACTACGCAGCAAGCGGGACTGTGAATGGAAAGGAACTATTGCAGCCACCACACCCCGCGAACGGGAGCTGTGGAGAACCCTGCAGGATTCCCCGCAGCAGTGAGTGAACGGCTCCGGGCGCCATTAGAGAAGAACAAAGATCCCGGGAGACGCGCACACAGCCCGGGCTGCCGGTAAGCTTGCGCGGAAAAGCGGTGCGCTTGGCGCACTTGAAAAGCAAACGCGGACCAGGATCGCGGCTGCCCAGGTCCCCGTGCCTGCGACCTAGGCTTGCGGGGAGACGCGCGGAGGCCCTCACGGGGGTGGGGGGGGGGTGAAAGTCCCTCACTGAGTGAGCAGGAACCAGGCACCCAGGCACGGGAGCGGGGTGCAAAAGGCGCCATTCCCGCGCCAATGAACTGGGCTACAGCCCGCGTCCTGGACCTGAGGGCTTTGAACTGAGACCCGGGGCACGAAATTCTGGGCGTGGGTTCTCCACGACGGTGGGGCACAAGGCAGACACAGCACCCCAAGGCCGTTGAGGTGTACCCTACCATTCTCGCTCTCTGTTCCCTGTCCCACGGGGGTGGGGGGGTTGAAAAACAGCCCCCCAAGGACAATAGGAGAGATCTCAGGCGCCACCTAGCAACCAGAAAAAAGTCACTAACACCCCATAGAACAGGGAAATTTCTTAAGACTTCTTGAAAAGGGCAGAAGGCTTCTGGAGGACCCAGTGGCCAGCTGGGAAGTTAGCCCACGCCAGGCCCCTTCCAACCAGCAGTCTGAGCCCACAGAGGGAGCAGGCACCCACGTCTGGGGCAGACCGGGCACGCAGAAGAGTGTGCCTGAGACCGGATGCGCAGGGACTGCGTCCCGCTTCGCCAGTTTAGAACAGGGACATTTCTTCAGTAAAGACTGCCTAAAACCAGCAGAAAGCTCCCCCAGAAGCCAGAGATGGTTCCTGGGGGAGCCAGAGGGGAGCGAAGAAGTTCACCCAAGATGACGGCCAGTCCGAGCAACACAGTGTCCCAATGCATACGACAAATTAGAAAACAGACAGTAGGGAGTACAAGAACCACACGCAACCTAACAACACCTCAGGAAAGAAGCACACCACAAAAAGAAAACCACCCTCCAGATTGCAATGACAGTAACTTGGAAGAACTTCTGAGCCTTCCAGAAAGAGAATTTAAAATTGCCCTGATTAAAAAAGTGGCAGAAGTCAAAAAGGAAAACAATGATCAGAAGAAGGAAATTGAGTCCTTAAAGAGGGAAAACAATGGTCAGAAGAATGAAATTCAGTCCCTAAAGAGGGAAAACAATGGTCAGAAGAATGAAATTGAGTCCCTAAAGAGGGAAGTAAAAGAAATGCAAGAGATCAAAGAATTAATGGAGGAACTAAAGAACTCTGGGAAAAGCAATGAAAGCAGAATAGATGAAATGGAAGAACGAATAAGTACTCTTGAAGACACAGAAATAAAAAGAACCAAAACAGAAAAGGAAAGAGAAGTATGAAGGAAAAAGAATGAAGAAAGACTTCGGGAACTATCTGACTCCATGAGGAAAGGAAATATAAGAGTTATAGGAATTCCAGAAGGAGAGGAGAGAGATGTAGGAACAGAGAAAATATTCCAGGAGATAATTGAAGAGAACTTCCCAAATGCGAAGAAGGAGCTGAAAATTGATATACAAGAAGCAAGAAGAACACCAAACTTCCACGACGAAAGGAAAAACACAGCAAGACACATAATAGTAAAGCTCCCAAGAATCCAGGACAAGGAAAAAATAATGAAGCTGACAAGAGGGAAGAAACAGATAACATTCAAAGGAAAACCAATCAGGCTGACATCAGACTTCTCTGAAGAAACACTACGGGCAAGGAGAGAGTGGAGGGACATAGTCAACAGACTCCAAGAAAACAGATGCCAACCAAGAATACTCTATCCCGCAAAGCTCTCCTTCCTCTATGAAGAAAGAATATGAACCTTCCCAGACAAAGAAAAACTCCGGAATTTCATTATGACTAAACCCCCACTCCAAAAAATACTACAAGGAATCCTAAAGCCAGAACCTCAGAGGGACGATTAACAATGAAAGAAGACCAAAAAAAAAAAAAAGTTATTAAAAGAATAAATAAATAAAATCAAAGGAAAGACAAACACAATGGCAAATACAGATGCTAACATATCAATATTAACTCTAAATGTAAATGGACTAAACTCTTCAATAAAAAGACACAGAGTTGCAGCCTGGATTAAGAAACAAAACCCAACCTTTTGCTGTCTCCAGGAAACACATTTAGCTACAAAAGATAAAAATAGGCTCAAAGTTAAAGGATGGAAAACAATTCTACAAGCAAATGGACCAAAAAAGAAAGCAGGAACAGCTATACTTATATCAGATAAAACAGACTTCAAACTCA